GAAGAGCCCCACGTGGCCGTTGACCTCGCCCTTCCACCAGTCGGGGTCCTCCCTGCTGAGCACGGTGATGATCTGGCCCTTGCTGAAGGCCAGCTCGTCGTCGTTCTGCGCCGTGTAGTCGTACATGCCGATCACCTGGCACACTGAACACAGCACGCTCAGCACGCTCCTGCGGCCCAGGGACCCCCCACACCACCCAGTGCCCACCCCAGGACACCCCAACACTCCCCCCTGTCCCTCAGAGCGTTGCCCAAAGGCTCCTGGAGCTCTGGCAGCCTTGGGGCCGTGCCCACTGCCCTGGGGAGCCTGGGCAGTGCCAACCACCCTCTGGGGGAAGAACCTTGTGCTGAGCTCCAACCTGAGCCTGCCCATGGGCACAAAACAGCCACAAACTCTGCACTTGGCTCAGCACAGCCCTGAGACACCATCCTGACCCCAGCCCAGCCTGCCCCCCTCCTGTGCCCCTCCTGGTGCTCAGCTCAGCCCTCACCAAACTGGCTCCAGGGGATTGAAAGACCCAAAGAGTTTCATGGAATACACTGGATGGGGTTGGGAGGGACCTTAAAGCTAATCTTAGAGCTCTGGGCAACCTGTGCCAGGGCCTGCCCACCCTCCCAGCCAGCAATTCCTTCCCAATATCCCATCTCTCCCTGCCCTCTGGCAGTGGGAAGCCATTCCCTGTGTCCTGTCCCTCCATCCCTTGTCCCCAGTCCCTCTCCAGCTCTCCTGGAGCCCCTTCAGGCCCTGCAAGGGGCTCTCAGCTCTCCCTGGAGCCTTCTCTCCTCCAGGTGAACCCCCCCAGTTCTCCCAGCCTGGCTCCACATGGGAACTTTGTTTGGAAATGTCCAATAGTGGAAGAAGATTGAAAAAATATTTAGGAGAAAGTCAAACCCTTGAAGGAGATTGGCCTTCTATTGACAGCTCTCTTTTGCTTTATAAGTAATAGGGTTTTTTCTACAAAAGCATCCATTTATAAAAAACCTGCATTTTGCATCTTCAACAACCTGTTGTGAAAAGCAGAATCCCAGAATGGTTTGGGTTGGGAGGGACCTCAAAGATCACCCAGTGCCACCCCTGCCCTGGGCAGGGACACCTTCCACCAGCCCAGGGTGCTCCAAGCCCCGTCCAACCTGGCCTGGAACATCCCACCAGGAGTGGTGGGTGGAAAATCTGGGAAACATTTGAAGTTCCAGTATCTGAAGCTCCCTAATCCAAGAGAAAGCCCCTGGTGATGTCCCTGTAGTGCTGTATGTCCCTGATGTCCCTGTAGGGAACAGGAAGCCTCCCAGGCCATCCCAGCTGCCCTTCAGCTGCTCCTGCTCCATCCCAAGAGAGCACCTTCCCTGGTTCTCTGAAGCACCAGGATTTTTATGGACAGGAATCATTTCCTCTGTTTCTCTCTGCTTTCTCTGGCCAAGCCACAGGACTGCTGGTGTTTTCCCACCAGACATAAGACTTCTATTACTGAGCCTTTCTGGCAGGTTCTCTCCATTAGATTAATCCTAAAATTTGCTTTTATTTTCACTCTTGTACTCAGCCAGAAACTTATATTTATCTGCCAAAAAGCTTTTCTTTTTTTTTTAAATTATGATTTAATCAAGATTTCAATGTTCTGCAGGCAATGAAAGAAGGGTTTCAAACTTCATTCTGTAAAATTTACCACGTGGGATAAGTCCCAGACTGTCAAACCTGAAATAATTTCAAAAATACCTATAAATTCCCATCGTGTTGCCTTGTAAAAGTTTGTGTCTCAATGCTGATTTACCATTTTAACCCCAAATTTGTGAAGGTCTGGGGAAGACTGATTTTCTGCATCTTTAGATTTCTATCAGAGGAGCCAGTGAGCACCACTTAGAGGAGCACAGAATCATGGAATATGATCCTTAGGGTCCTTTCCCAACTCAATCATTCCACAAGTCCATGAAAAAATTCTCATGGTCTGTTGCTCTTGTGTCGTTTCCTAAACCTCAAAACACAGAGAAAAGCTCCATCTCCACGGAGCACTTCCCACTGCCCCCGAGGAAACTGGGAAGGCTCTGTGGGAGAGGTGTCCCAGTGACAAAAAACCTCTGAAAACCCTACACTCACCCCCTCTAAAGCTTTAAAAACCACTCTGCTCCAATGAGCACAGAGAACTGAGCCCCTGGAGGTGCCACCTGGCTAATGGAGCAGGGGAGCTCCCCAGGAGGGGCAGGCAGAGCTCAGGGCAGGGAAAGGCTCCCCAGCAGCACCTGAG